GATCCCAAGCACCTAGGAATTCTACAAACACTGGGATCAACGGTGAAAATAAGATGGAATCTTGCCAGCCTATAAGATTCACAGCCTCACACTCCCAGAAAGAACTCTCTGGCCATAGACATAGGACTTCTGGGCGCTATGGCCTGTTCGTAGGACCTGACCCGTCCAAGCCCTGCTCATGTTCACCTAAGTACAAAATTCTCTTTATTACATTCTCACACAGTGAGTTTTGATGATGGCCTCCAACCTTGGGGATGAGCAAATACGAACAAATGATTATGGGACATGTCTGCAAATCTGTAAGCGTGTCTCAGTGACTAAGAGAGGAGTCCCTGAGACGGAGGCAATTAAAAAAACAGGCATCCCATGTGGCATTTACCATAATACTCTGGTAATCACCTAAGTATTATTAACTAACTGAACCCTCATAACAACTCTCTGGAGAGGATGCCATCTGACAAAGTGGCTTCCTATGTACATATGAGCAAACTAAGGCCGTCAGGTAACTTGCTCAAGATCACATGAGTAGTCAATGGCAGAGCTGAGGTTTGAGATTATCTACCAATATTTTCAAAGTTGCCTAAAACACCATCATTGGCATCATCATGGTTTAAGGCAGAGGAGGGAACATCATGGTATAAAAATTACTGATTTTAGAACCAGTCAACATAATAGAAATTTTTAGTGGCTAACAGAACTCTGTCTTAGAAATCAAAATAATTAGATAAATTTGGAAAACATCACTGTGAACTCAAAAAGGACACATATTGTCCCTGGTTCATTCACTATTATAATTGGCCTGATATCTTAAATAGCTTGATTTAGACATTTCACAATGTCAAAACATGTTATATACTATAAATATATATACTTTTTACTTGTTAATTATAAAAACAGTTGGCCTAACAATAGGCCTGGTGCTTTTGTCCACTACCAAATCTCATGCTCAGATAGGATCTTCAATATAGTTCTCAACTAAAATGAACAAGAGCTCCTTGGAGACAAGCTAATTCCATATCTTGGACCAGGACAAAAACCAAAATAGGTCTAAAACATCTTGTTGTTGCCAAATAACAAGATGACTTCAAGAGCATCTGAAACCCTGTTACATGGCAAAGAAATTCATGTGTAAGAACTCTTTCTGGCTAAGTTGTGACAATTTGAGCATCAAAAAAAAAAAAAAAAAAAAAAAAAAAAAGAAAGAAAGATGGAGAAGGAAATAATAATAATAATAATTTTTTTGAAATCAAGTTGCACTAGATCACCTTTGGTAGAGTGCCATGGCGTCACAGCTCACAGCAACCTCAAACTCTTGGGCTTAAGTGATTCTCTTGCTTCAGCCTCCCAAGTAGCTGG